TAGTAGTAGTAGTAGTAGTAGTAGTAGTAGTAGTAGTAGTTGTTGTAGTAGTAGTAGCAGTAGTAGTAGTAGTAGTAGTAGTAGTAGTAGTAGTAGTAGTAGTAGTAGTAGTAGTGGTGGTAGTAGTAGTACTACTACTACTACTACTACTACTACTACTAGTAGCAGTAGTAGCTGCTCGAAGAAACTTTGAAGCAAACCAGAGAAAGCCTTTAGACAACAGCATACAACACACGGAACCGACAAACAAAAATATAACATATATATACACACACATACTTTTGCACACGCACAGATACGTACAAACCCTTGACACTAAAGGCCAAAATCAATAGCCCTGCATTAACCAATGGCCAATGAGCCAGAGCCCTGCCCCAGACCTTGCCCTGCATGCTACAGCTTAGAAACTTCTAGAACCCTCAATCCTAAACCCTAGAACCCACAAAAAACCGAAGCACAAAACTCTAACAGAACCCTCAAAGCAGCCACTGCGTGAACCCTCGAAGAACATTCAAACCTGGCGATTCCTGAAAGACCAAATGACCCTAAAAAGTAGGGGCCCAGTCCCTGATACTATGAATCCCTATATGGTGTGTATATATATATATAATAAAAAATGTATATAAGATAAATAAATAAATAAAAGTATATATATATATATGAACCTTAAACCCTTTTAGGGTTCATTGCATCCTTAAGGTTCCGAGCGTCACGGCAAGACAGGCGTCCACCGCAGTCGGCGACGCTGAGCGGGCAGTGGCCTCCCCGATCCAAATCCCTAAGGGTCCATGTACCCAAATAGTATATACATTGGCCCCAAGGTACTTATATAGAGACTACTTCAAGGCCAAAGTATGTCTATTTGGGTACATGGACCCTGAGGGACCCCGAACCTTGAACTACGGTTGATGATATAAATCCTGCATTACTCACGATAAGGAATATACCATAATTCCCATAGCTTAGGGTCCTTAGGGTAATACAGGATTTATATCATCAACCGTAGTCCTATAATTCACGCCCTTTGGGTATAAGCCCTAAACCCCAAACCTTACCTTGCACCGCCCAAACCTAAATGCAAAGAAGGGTCACCATCAATTCTACATTCGGGTTTATAAATAGAACGTAAAGCCTACGAAACAGGTCACATGGTAGTTTAAAGGGACCCCCCCCCACCATATTACAATCCGGGAAGGGGTCAAAGTCTACTACAATCCTTAATAACAGCACCTTGCCGGTGCGCGGTGAGAGCAGAGGCGTCCCAGGCAGCGCGGCATCGACTTCCGGCGGGGCCATGGCTCGGAGTGCCAGAAAGGACCTCCTACCAAGGGTTCCTTTTAGGGCTCCTTTAAAGGATCCGTTGGGTTCTGTGCTTGGGTCCCCTTTAAGGGGGTTTAGGGTTTTTTATGGGCTAGTTGAAAATGGATTCGGGTGCAGGCTTCTTTGGTGGTATAGTGGCTTGTATGGGCTTTCATGGGCTCAGGAGTTAAAAGTCTATAGGTGTTTGCGAGCCTTGAGGAAAGATCCTTAGAAAACCCTAAACCCTAAACCCTAAACCCTAAAGCCTATTTCTCTTGGGTTTCCAGCTATTCGAGCTTTGGATTCGGATTAGGGTCTAGGGCTTAGGGTTTAGAGAGTCGTGCTGTCGGGACTTGGGTTTAGGGCCTTGGGTTTCAGCGTCGAGGGATTTATGGAATTCGACGATTCGAGTTAAGGGCGAGCTTCTTCGCCAAAGGCTGCATGTACCTTCAGAGTAGATACTTAAGCCCTAAAGTACCTTTTTACGGACCCCTTTAAGGCTTAAGTAACTATACTATAAAGGTACGTGGAGCCTTTGGGTTCGCCCAAAGTCCGACAGCACAGAAACCCTCGATTTAGGGTCTCAGCCAAACGCCTGTGGACCAGCAGCATGGAAAACAACATGACCAGGGACACCAGAGGCTCCATATACATATACATATATATATATATATGTACATATATATGAATATAGAAAAATTGTGTGTATATATGTATGTACATATACACATATATGGCTTAGGGTTGAGGGTTTAGGGTCCTACATATATATATATATACACATACATATACATATATATATATATATATATATATATATATAGATGCTACCATTGTGGAACTAGGTCCCCGAAACCATGATAAGGATGGTCTCTTGGGGCCTGCTTCCATCATGGTAGTATCGTTGCAGCCTCTGGGGATGAGGTTTTAGGGGCTTAGGGGTTCAGGGCCGTGCAGAGTTTCGTGCCTAGGGAAATGACTACAGGCTACTGCAGGCGTATCCGTGTCGAGCTCCATTGACCATCCGAATTATGGTCCCAAGGGCCTAATTCCATAATTGTGGTATTCTTGGAGCGTATATATGGAGTCTCTAGGTAAACCCTACATCCCTAAATTACCGTCTGTGTTAGATGATTGAAGGGTTTGGGGTTTAGTGTGAAACCCTACACCCTAAACCGTGATAGGGTCGAAGGGCAGAGTGACTTCGGGCTTCGACGATGTGTTAAAGTATTTCTGGGTTTTTAGGGTTAGGGTTTAGGGTTTAGGGTTTAGGATTTAGGGTTAGGTTGTTAAGGGGTCTCATCGGCGTTTAGGGTTAGGGTTTATAAGCCCTAAAACCCTAAACCCTAAACCGGTTGATAGATGTTTCAAGTAGGATGTTGGAGGCTTGTGGGGTTCAGTTTCGTGCTATGATTTTTGGGTTTAGGGTTTAGGGTTTAGGGTTTAGGGGTTTAGGGTTTAGGGTTTAGGGTTTAGGGAGGGAGAAACTACCCCACAAACCCTCAAACCCTGCTGCACCAGGAGAGAAGAACAACACACAAGCCAAGGGCTAAGCTTCGAGTTCGGGGCTTAGGGAATATAGGGCTTCGGGGTGTAGGGTTTAGGGATTTCAGGTTCTGGGTTTAGGGTCTAGGGATTTATGGTTTAGGGTTTTTGGGGCTCAGGCCCTAAACCCTAAACCTTAAACCCTAAACCCTAAACCCTAAACCCTATCCCCTAAAACCCTAACACCCTTAGGGTTTAACGTCCAACGTTTCGGGTTCAGAGCTGAGGGTTCAGGGTGAAGAGCTTGGATGGTTTTGTTAAAGAGGCTGAAGTTAGTTTAGGGTTTAGGGTTTAGGGTTTAGAGTGTTTAGGGTTTAGGGTTTAGGGTTTAGGGTTTAGTGTTTAGGGCTTCGGGTTAAGATTCCGGGATTTGGGGTTTAGAGGAACCCCCTAACATCAACGAATCCGCCCAAAATCAAAACCTTCACCCTTACCCTCAAAGGTCTCATATGTTTAAGGCTTCTGGGCCCAAAGACCCTATTATATAAGGCATTTGGGCTCTTTTGATGGGTAGAGATACCCACCAACAAAGTCTAACCACCTAAACAACCTTTAGACACAACCAACAAATCATAGAAGACTCAAGAGAACCCTCCAGTATCCTCCTTCCAAAAAAAGAGTCGAAGCCACAAACCCATAACCCTGCGAAGCCTAGACCCTCAAAGCCCTAAACCCTCAACCCCATAGCCCATGCTGCCCCTCAAAAGAGCCCTTAAAAGAAGCCCTAAACTCCATAGTTGGTTTAGGGTTTTGACTTAGGGTTTGGGCTTTAGCTTTTAGGGTTCAGGGAACCCTCAGAAGGACCCTCAACGGAACCTCAACGGGACAATATGGGCCATTAGGCTTCTAGTAGTCTATCATAACGGTTTATGGGCCCCTCAAAACCCCCCTAAACTCTAAACCCTAAATCCCGAACCCTGTAAACAAAAAACATTCCCCAAACCCTGAACCCATATGGAACCCTCAAAAGAACCCCTAAACCCTAAACCCATAAACCCCTAAACCCCTACTAAACCCTAAACCCTAGACCCTGATCGATACCCCCAGATCTCCCTCAGAATCAAAGCCTTCAGCCCTGTCGGGGGCCGCACATCCCCTGCATATAGGGCTTCTATAAGGCTTCCATAATAAGGTATATAGCCCTTCTATAAGGCTCCTATAACACCTGAAAATGTCCTAGACTGAACCCTAAACCCTAAACCCTAAACCCAGATTCGGGGGTCGCACATCCTCTGCGGTGAAACTAAATGGCAAGCCACGGCACCGAAGCCACCTGAGAGCGTTGAGGGTTTAGGGTTTAGGGCTTAGGGATTTAAGGGTTTAGGGTTTAGGGGTTTAAGGGTTTAGGGTTTAGGGTTTAGGGATTCAGGGTTTATAAACCCTGTTGAGGGGGAGTTTTAGGGAGTGGTTTAGGGTTTCGGGCTCAGGGTTTAGGGTTTAGGAGGCTTTTAGGGGGAGTTAGAGCCTGGAATGCAAGGTTTAAGGTGTTTTAGAGCAAAGGGTTCAGAGCGCTGTATGACATTCGAGGGTTTAGGGTTTAGGGTTCATGGTCTAGGAGGCTACATCGATCGGTCCGATGTTTTGGGCTTTTGGATCCTTTGGGCCCACATGAACCCTAAGAGGGTTTATAAGGTTCAGATACTTACTATATGGGAGATTCCGAAAATAAGGGGTACATGATTTTGGGGTCCTTATAGTAAGGATCCTACTATTTAGGGTACTATATTAGGGTCTCCTATTTTCGGAAATCCCCATATAACATAGGGGTTCATAGTATAAACATGGGGGTTTCCAAAAATAGGGGACCCTAATCCTAATATAGTATACCCTGAATAATAGGTTCCGTACTCTCAGGACCCCAAAGTTAAGGTACCCTAATTTTCGGAAACTCCCATATATGCTGGGTATAGGACCCGTACACTTAAGGATCATTTGGTACATCCAGCCAAGCAGAGTCTGCGGTCTTTTCAAGGTCAGCTCCAATGGCTGATGATATAAATCCCACATTACCTTATGAGGACCCTAAACTACGGGACCCTAAACCCCAAACCCTGCACCCTAAACCGTTTTGGGAACTATGGTATACTCCTTATGATGGGTAATGCAGGATTTACATCATCAACCGTATGTCGGCATCGGAGTGAACACAAAGCTCCACTGAAGAACCTTGCGCACGGGGCCCTGCAGAACGAGGCCTTTCGGGTTTAGGCTTTAGAACGGTTTAAGGTTTAGGGTTTAGGCTTTACAAACTTAGGGCTTATAGTTTATGCTACTTCGGGTTTAAGGGCTTCGGGTTTATAGTTCGTGCTACTTAGGGTTTAGGGGCTCAAGGTTTATAGTCTGTGCTACTTTGGGTTTAAGGGCTCCTGGTTTATAGTTTGTGCTACTCAGGGTTTAAGGCTCAAGGTTTATAGTTTGTGCTACTTGGGGGTTTCCGAAAATAGGGGACCCTAATATAGAACCCCAAATAGTAGGATTCCTATTATAAGGACCCCAAACTAAGGTACCCCTAATTTTCGGAAACTCCCACTTCGGGTTTAAGGGCTTAAGATTCCAAGCAGCTCTGCGCCCGAGAGACTCATCGCCCTAAACCCCTAAACCCTAAACCCCTAAACCCCTAAACCCTCAACCCTAAACCCCAAACACACTGCAATGATGGAGTAAGTAGGGCTTCAGGCCACTGGGGCAGGGCTTAGCCCATTTTTAAGGTTCCTTAAAGACCAAATGAACCCAGGTTTAGGGTTTAGGGTTTAGGGGTTTTAAGGTTCATATACCATATTGCAATTTCATAGTATGAGGGTAGGAGGGCCCTTACCTTTAAGGGTCATGTGGTCCTTAATGTGCTTTCAGGTGTAGGGCTTGAGACTGACTGCATGCAAAGCCTACGTTCTAGGAGCTGGAGTCGAGGGTTTCGGGCTTAACAAACACAGCCCAAAGGGTACTAGGTACAGTTACAGGTTTAGGGTTTAGGGTTTAGGGTTTAGCGTATGAGGGATACTTTCCCAACTCAGAATTTGATCTGATTCCTGATATTTAAACTCAACATTCAACTATATAGGTAATTTGGACCCTTTGGGTAAACCCTAGACCCCACACCCCAAACACTTATAGAAACTCTCATGTTCAGGGAACCCAGATTATCTGAACGGTTGAGGGAACCCTGATAGAAGCCCTTAGAGGAACCCGGTACCCTAAACCCTAAACCCTGAACCCTAAACCCTAAACCCTAAACCCTAAAAGCTCTAAACCCTAAACCTTAAACCCTAAACCCTAAAAACCCTAAACCCTAAACCGCTTTGAGGAAGTCCCTGGAGCAAGAGCTTGTCATGGTAGAGGCCATTACAACGCCTAAGGCCTAAGACTACGGTCTAGGGTTTAGGGTTGAAGCCATTACAAGGCCTAAGACTACGGTTTAGGGTTTAGGGTTTAGGGTTTAGGATTTGGGATTTAGG